TAGATCACTAGCACCCAGGTTTAAAAAGGGTGTGCCATAGCTTGCACCTGTGGTCCCAGTGTGGTGAAGCAGAAACAGGCAAAACCCTGGAGCTCACTGGCCAGCCAACCTAGCTGAACTGGTGGTTCCCAGTTTAGCGAGAGACTCTGTCTCAAAAATATAAAATGGAGAGTGACAGAGGAAGACCTGAGTCCTGACCACCACATACATGAACACATATGTGCATATGCAGTTCACAAGAACACAGACACAGATCCATACACGCGCGCGCGCACACACACACACACACACACACACACACACGGTCAATTTCCAAGCCTCCCACAGAGGTCAAGGCAAGTCATGTGACCAGATTCTAGTGGTGAAAGAATTGATGGGCAAGAGAGTGAGGAACTCATTTATCACACTTTGTCTGAGGATAAAATGAAATCACAGATGCCAGATGAAAGTGGCAGCTATTTGGGAGGCTAAGGCAGGTGAATCCCTTGAACACAGAAGTTCAGCGCTAACCTGAGTAACATAGCAAGACTCCATGACGAAGCTTGGTTCGGAAGGGTCATGGGTTGGAGAATGGTGTGACTGCTGATGAGCTTCCTAGAACTGATTGGTCCCTGAGGATCCCATGTTACCAATGGATCCAACTCTAATCAGTGGGTTCTGTTGATGGAATTATAATTGGAACCATCTAATTATGATGGAAGATGGTATTAAAGGAGGAGGCAAAGCCTCGTTGAGGGAAATAGGTCACTAGAAAATGGAAATTTTCCTGGTCCTTTGATATTCTCTGCTCTTTCTCCCCTGGCCTGAGCAGCTTTGTCCCACCACATGGTCTTGGCCTGGAGGCTCTGCCTTGATAGAGTCATACACAATGGATCCAGGGTTACATGGTTGACTCCTCTGAACCCGTGAACCAAAGTAAACCTCTATTCCTTTAAACTGTCCCCATGCATCTGCCATGCCGGGAACACCTGATGCCCAAGTCTCCTTAAAAAATGAAACTTTTTTTTTTTTTTTTGGATTTTTTCGAGACAGGGTTTCTCCGTAGCTTTTTGGTTCCTGTCCTGGAACTAGCTCTTGTAGACCAGGCTGGCCTCGAACTCACAGAGATCCACCTGCCTCTGCCTCCCGAGTGCTGGGATTAAAGGCGTGTGCCACCACCGCCCGGCATGAAACATGTTTTAAATGACACAGAGAACTTGGTTGGCTTGGGTGGCATCTGTCTGGAACTCCAGTAGGAGGATGCCTGCTTTGGGATAATGCTTTTTGTACACTGTAAAGTTTGTCACTCGTATTGCTTTAATAAAATGCTGATTGGCCAGTAGCCAGACAGGAAGTATAGGCAGGGCGTCCAGACTAGGAGAATTCTGGGAAGAGGAAAGGCAGAGTCAGTCACAAGCCAGATGCAGGGGAAGCAAGATGAGAATGCCTCACAGAGAAAAGGTACCAAGCCACATGGCTAAACACAGACAAGAATTATGAGTTTAAGTCATAAGAGTTTGTTAATAAGCTGTAGGGCCCTGGTCTGCCCTTGTTTTTGGGGTGCATTTGCAGAGATCCTTATAAAGCAGTTAGGTAAATAAGGACTCCCCCAAATCTGAATAAACTGGCATTCGACTGGTCTCCTTTTGAATGACCCTGGTCTCTGTGTGTGTTCTTTCAATCTCCAGGCCCTTGCTCCACTTGCGTACGGTGCAGTGGCACACAAACTGTACCGAGGGTGTAACACAGAATCGGGTGTTACAGTAAGCCTGAGTTAATAGGCCAAACAGTTTATAATTAATATAAGCTTCTGTATGTTTCTTTGGAACTGAATGGCTGTGGAACCAGGTGGGATAGAAACTTCCATCTACAGATGCCCACAAGTTTGAGGTTAACATGGTCTATATAAAGAGTTCCAGGCCAATTAGGGCTACTTAGCAAGACTCTATCTCAGGGCTGGAGAGATGGCTCAGTGGTTAAGAGCTCTGACTGCTCTTTCAGAGGACCCAGATTCAGTTCCCAGCACTGGCATGGCAGCTCACAACCTTCTGTATTTCCAGTTCTAGGGGTTCTGATGTCCTCTTCTGGACTCTGTTGGCACTAGGAATGCATGCAGGTGGCACACAGACATCTATTCAGACAAATATACTCATACACACAATAAAAAATAAGTCTTTCTAAAAAAATCCTTTTTCAATAAACAATGAGTTTATAAGCCTGGATGTTGAATTAATATGTAGCTAATGATTGCATTTCTCTCTGGAGATTCTCAGCATTAAAGATGGATCTGAGAAGGTTACATTATTCTGGGCACTGATCTTAGAATGATCAGAACTCTTTATTTCTTGTCCAGGGCTTGAAGTGTCTGGTAATGATATTCTCTTTCCTTCCAATGATGGCCCTCTGCAAGCTTGGACCCTCTTGTCCCCTCAGATCACACAGTTACAGGCTTTTGACTCCTGGCTAGGTAGGGGTTATGCTTTGGTCGGGTATGGAAGGAAAGTACACAAGACAGAACTTTGGCCTTCTGCAATTTAAAGATCAAAAAATCCCCTGACCAGAATCTCTGATAGGAGAAAAACTGAGGCTTAATTGGTAAACAGGAGAACTTATGGGATAGGGGAAGAGAAAAGAACCACTTACCTTGGAATGTGACTGAAGCCTCTGACTGTCTGAGAAACACACATTCCAACAGGATTAGCAGCATTTGCAGTGAAGGCTCTCCCACATAGAGCACTCCTTCCAAACATGGGCTGCTTTTCTTTCTTTTTTTTTGTTATTTTTTTTTAAATAGCTATGACCCAGCTTCACAACCCGAATGGACATGACTTTGAGTAGGGCTTTATTCCTTCCCCAAGACGTTCTCTTGGCATCTCCAATCAGACCTTGTTTATGTGAATGTACCCTACCAGCCTGCATCCCTGAGAGACTGAGTTTACTTACGGATTGCACCTTGCAGTAGCCACCTGCATGTGGCTCTGCAAAGACAATGAAGTGTGGGTCTTACCGAAGTTCAAGCCTTCACTCTGAGGGGGTCTTACTTTCTTCCCATGGGCCTTTTTCCTTCTCTTAGCCCCTGTCTTCAACTCTATTCTAACATATGTTTATTAAACCCTACTCAACTTTTAAAAGAAAATCACTTAAATAAAACAAGGTCTCATGTAGCCCAGGCTAGCCTCAAATGTGCTATGTAGCCAAGGCTGGCTTAATTACTCCTCTTGGCTACACATCCCAAGTGCTGAGATCACAGATCTGCACTACTGTGACTGGCTTAAATAGTGATTTTTTTTTTTAATTTGGTGCATTGTCCCCTCACCATTTTCCTCTGGGCTGTAAAGATAGTAACAAAGCCACATACCCTACCTTGGCATCAGGGAAGGATGGCAGCTTCCATCTCTACCTTGCATCTGCAGAGCCCAGGGGCTGAGAACGCTGGTGTTTCCATCACTTTGCTCACAAAAAAGGCCACGGAGACTTGGCTGCCACCTCATTTTTGGTTTTATTTTGACCCGCTTCTCGCTTTTCAAAGGCCCGGAGGCTGGGAGCTGTTTGCAGAGCTTTCCCTCCAGGTTGTCCTTTCTTCTGTCTCCCAGCTCCCCCAAGGGGCCTCCTGCCCTGGTTTCATCTCTTTCTGCTGCAGCCTCACATCTGCCTAGGGGCTGCTTCTAGCTGAAGCTTCAGCTTCAGGGGACTCCCAGGGGGTGGGACAGAGCCACTGTGGACTCTTCCAGGTAAGGCTGACAAAGTCTGGAAGCTCTGGATGTCTGTGACCATGTCTCTCCCTGCCAGGGTGTGCTCTCCCCTTTCTGAGGAGTGGTTACTCCCAACCCATAAGGGAAAGGTGCTCCTTTGGAGCTGGAGGGTTTCCAGGGGGCCTGAAGCTTTCTGATATTCCTCCGAACTCTAAATCATCCAAAGAAAATGGCAGTGTTCTGACCTGGGTAACCACCAATCGGCAAGCAGGTCGGTCCTGAACTCCCCTCCCTGCCTGACACAGCTGGTCCTTATGTCTGAAACCCAGACGCCCTGAAACAGGACTAGCTTTCATCTTGAGAGACCTCAGACCTCAGACAAAAAAAGAGCTTAATTCACAGACAGCCTGGCTCCTCAGAGGCCCTGGGCAAGGGAGCTGGGGTGTCGGGAGTGGTGGAAGTGGGGGACCCTGTCCTTCCAGCTGGACCCTCCAAGACAGCTGGGAGTTCTTCTGAGGAGTGTTCTGAAGCTGTCCTTGAGATTTTGGCTTAACAGGAAGTGTCTTGTTCTCACACTGTGCCCCTGGAGCTTGCTGGGGACAAACCCATTTTACAGATGTAGGCGCTGAGAGAATGAAGGTTCATAAGCAGAGGACGATTGGTTGGCATGGGTAAAGTGAGGTCGGAAAAATCCCAGGGATGGGGCTGGTATCCAGCCAAGGTGAGGTTGGCTTCCAGCACTCTTGTTTGTCTAGCATATCTAGTGGGGGCTCATGAATCCCAGACTGACCTCAAACTTACGATATAGCCAAGGATGACCTTGAATTTCTGAGTCTCCTGGCTTTACCTCCCAAGGGCCGAGTTTGTACACACGGTCCCACCACGCCCAGTTATTGCAGTGTCAGCGAGGTAACCCTGGGCTTCATGCCTGCTAGGCAAGCGTTCAACCAAGCCACACCCCCAGTCCCTCTAGCACACTTTAAAGAAATGAAGTCTTCAAATTTTGCCTCTAGGGAAGGTTTTTCCTTAGACTCCACCTGTAAACGGGGCAGTGATAGTGAGGAGCTGTGTACAGAAGCCGGTGTAATGTTGATGACGTCACTGCACTGAGAACCCTGCATGAAGGATGTCTGGGCCGCTCCCTCCCACCAGCCAGCTTTGACTCTCTCACTGAGCATTCCCAAGGTCAGCTGTGTGTCCTACGGTTCGAAAGGGGCAAAGCCCCAATTCTGGATAAATGTTAGAGGCTATGTTTGTTTTGGCAGCTGTGCGCTTCCAGATAGGACTTGAGCTGTCTTCTCTGATTCTGGAGGAGGCTTCAGAGAAGAATAAGGAAACAAAGACCATTTTATTTATGATAGAAAACGAAATCAACAGGGGGGACAAATCCACAGGCCCAAAGGGAGGGGAGCCTGTTTAAACAGAGTGAGATGCGTTCACTTGCTGGAATATTCTGTGACTATTGAAATGATGTTTACCCAGGGTTTGTAATAACACGGAAGATGCTTATTCTGAAAATGCCGTGTGCACAAGGAAGCAGCAGAATTGTATGTTCAGCACAAACACACCCGAGCAAAACCAATCCAAACAAAACCCACAAACAGAGGAAAGGGACCCGAGAGGCACACACCCCAGCAGGAGATGTCTTTGGGTGGCAGAAATGAGTTTTCTTATGCCCTTCTCTATCTTCCAATTGTCTCTTTACTTATTTTTGTATAAAGAGGGCATGGACTGGCTTAACGTGGAAAGTAACTCAAGCTTCATTTTCCTCCCCCTAAAAGCAGTAAGAACTCTTACTAGAAAAAAGCAAGGCAGACGGTCCTCAGAGAGCCGGCTAACACTTAGGTCCCGCGAAAGCTGAGACCAGGAGGTCGGTAAACCCCAGTCTACTCCCCAAAGTCAAGTGGTCAGCCTAGACTCCGAGCCCATGGGAAGCAGATGCCAGCTGGCTGCCCCCAGCTGCAGACAGGGACATGGTACCTGTGACTCCCTGGTAATTGTGCCGGCTGCTGCCACCAAGTTGGCTTCTCCCAGATCTGTCGTCTACCCCTCTTCCACCCTGTGGTTATACTCCTCAGAAGCACCTCCCTTCCTCAGCCTTTGTGGCAGAACCATTCCCCTTCCTGCTAGGTGCATCTCCCTAGTTCCTCCTCAGACACCATCTCATCAGGAGGCTGTCAGAGCACTTGCCTGGCTTTGCCCTTGTCTTAGCAGTTACTTGAGCTAAGTTCAAAGTCTCTCTTCCTGTGCTCAGTCTACGAACCAGCCTGCTCTCCTCCATTGGAACCCTGTTCCCCAGCCACAGAGCCGTGCCCAGTCCAAACAGCCTGCACGTGTTCATTTCACCAGTGAACTCTGACCACCGTGTCTAAGCTGGGTTCACTGGGTTACTTGGCTCCACTGTAACCCCTCCCATCCCCCAAACCAGCTCCTCGACAAGCCAGCTCTGACGTACCAGCCATGATTGCTGGGTTTCTGTTTTGAACAGTTTGGAAGTCAGGGATATAGGAATTGATTAGCGATGTCTGCCCCACAGAGCATAAGGGAGGCACAACAGACGGATCTCAATGGCCCCTCTCTCTATAAAGACCACGCTCACCATTCGCTGGTTCCTACCATTGGTGTGTCTCAGGCTTCTGAAAGTGTCTCAAGTGTGTTCCCTCTTCTCCTGGATAAAATCTATCCCAGACCCTTCTGAGGTCTTCTCAGCTTGGCTGCCCTCAGACATAGGCTCGCTTATGCCTGGGATCTGGAGGTATTTTCCAAAAGCACCTTGTCAAGACTATACTTTCAGGGATCATTTCTATAGTTTGTTACCAAAAGCACCTTGTCTTGACCTGGGACCACCATGCCAGGTAATCAGATTTTTTTTTTTTTTTTTTTTTTTTTTTGGTAATCAGATTTTTCTTTGGGCTGCCAGCTCGCAAATAATGACATGGAGAGTTATTATTAATTATGAAAGCCCGACCTTAGCTTAGGTTTCTCCCATTAGCTCTTATAATTTAAATTAGTGCATGTATTTTCATCTACTTTCTGTCAGGTTTCTCATTACCTCATCATCTCTCTGCACTGCCCACGCTGCTTCCTCCGCATCTGGCTAGCAGCTCTGCCTTCTTCCTAGAGTTCTCTCTCTGCCTAGAAGTCCCATCTATACCGCCTGCCTAGCTATTAGCTGTTCAGCTTTTTATTGCACCAATCATAGCAATACATTTTCACACGGCATACGAATATCCCACAACTTTCTTTGACTCTCTTTACTGAAGCGTTCCCTCCCACAGAGGTTGATGCCTGAGTATTGACATCAGTTGGCAGAGGGCAGGATTCCCTCCCTGAAGACCCACCATGGCCCAGATAGCCTTTCTCACTCAGTTCTCACTTGAGAATCAGTCAGCTGCTTCCTCCCCCCAGGTCCTCAGCCAGGGATAGTCACCTTACATGGTCCAACAAAAACCTCTTCTCATCTCCATGACAACCTCCTCCTTGATCTACATTCCAATCCTGCATCTTCCAAAAAGTTCCCCAGCCTCAATTCTAGCAGCTGTGTGGCTACCCATGGATCTGCTTGGTCATCAGTGGGATCTGGGGAAGACTTTAAAGGGACACAGAGCCCAGAGTGTTCTTCTCCTCCTTGTCAGGCCCACCCCAAATGTGACTCACACCTCGTGGTTCCTGGGTGGTTTCAAGAGCATCAAAAAGTTGGTTTTTGTCTCCCTCAGAATGGAACACAGGCATGGCAGAGTAAAAGGTGAGACCAGGTCCTCTGTCTTCCTCTTGGAATTGGGTCTCCTTGGAAGTCCCACTGGGATCTCCTCTCTCCTTAGCTCCATCCTGGACCTGCTTCTCCTTGTTCCTTCCCATCTGACCTGACAGACAGGATGGCTACAGACATGGAGAGGACCGTGCTGATGATCTGAATAGTGGTGGCCGTCCTGGCCTGCAGGCAGAGAGGATTCTGAACTCTGAGGAGAGTGCTGTGGTCAGGTGGGGGTGGACATGGCAGTGGCCTAGAAAAAGGGGAGTCTAGAACCACATCCGGACCCCATCTCCCAAGACTTCGGCAGACCAACGACTAATGTTCATCTAGTAATCACATAGAACCTGTGCTCAGATGGAGGCTTCTCTTCCTTCCAGCACACAGAACTGGAGGCAACCGAAAAAGAAAAGCAGGCGGCGGTCAGTGTGCTCCGCAAACAGGTGTCCCCGTGGGTGCCTTCAGTTTTAGTTCCGCCAGTCCTTCTGGCTGAACCTCTGGGCTATCCTGAGCTCCTTCCTGCTTCTGCCCAAACCTGCGCCTTCAGTTGTTCCCACCTGTGCTTTAGATGCTTCTAGATGCTTCAAAGTGGGTCCCAATGCTGGTCTGTGGTAAATCACAGAAAGTCAAGCAGCTTCAGGGGTCCCTAGGGGTCCCCGGCACCTGGAACTGTGATCAGGATAAGCCTAAGGTCCCGAGTTTCAGTGGGGTCCTGAAATCGCCCCTGCCAGGAATTCTAATTTGAAGTACAGCGCTGGTCTGTCGCTCACACAGTTGTGGACACCCACTGTCCTGGAATGCTGGGCTCTGGCTTCACTGTTTCAGCCTGCCTGCCAACCAACCACGGAGGTGCAAGAATTCCCCCAAGGCCCTGTAGCCTATGGTGGAGAGATAATTTTCTACCCTTCTGCTGTGTTCCTGCCTCTACCTCTTATCCAGAGTGATGGGCAGAGAGCTTTGCTGCATCCCCATGGAGCACCGCAGAGGGGCTGTTAGACAGGGGTTTGAGGCATATCAGGGAAAGGAAGAGTCAGGACGGTAGGCAGGAGGGTGCCCCGTGCAGCAGGGAAACCCTGTAGGTCCTTAGGCACAAACCTGGGCGAGATGTGGTCGGCCAGGAAACAGAGCATGCGCTTGCGCCCCACACAGTAGATATGATCATCCACCACCGCACACTGGAAGGCTTCAGGGTAGGGCAAGCGGTACGTGGCGCACTCATACCAGAGGCGGGTGCTGGAATTGCAGCGGTACACGCTGATGCCCAGGCTACGGTTGAGGTCAAAGCGGTAGAGAAAGCCATTGACTGCCACCATCTCAGCGGTGCGGTCCTTGCTGCCTCCCGTGGGGCCCGCCCACCAGCGCTGCTCCTGGGTTGAGAATCTGAGTAGCAAGTAGCGCAGGCTGCCTCCAGTGACAAAGATCTCATTGGCGCACACTGTGGCTGTGTGTGCCAAGGCAAATGTGTCATTCGGGAGTGGCGGGGCAAAGGTCCAGCGGTCCACTCGAGGGTCGTAACGCTCCACGGTGTTCAGACACTCACCTCCAATGGCATAGAGGTGCCCCTCAAGGGCTACCAGCCGGCAGTGCGGCCGGGCCTGGTTCAGTGGGCACACTTCACTCCAAATTGCAGTCAGTGGGTTGTAGCAGAAGACACGGTTGGAGGGTTGGCCCCCGGGTCCCTGACAGCCAGACACCACGAACAGATAATTGAAGAGAGTACAGACAGCACAACCCCGGGACATGGCTTCCACGGGCAGCTGGGCCAGCGGGTGCCAGGCATCCTGCACATTGTCATAGCAACAGAGGCTGCCACTGTCTTCCTGGGGACACACGTCGGCCACCACCAGGCGCTTGTGGCCACGGAACCGTCGCTGGAGGATCAGCTCTCGTTCTGTCCCACTCAGGCCCCCGTAGATGGCTGTGCTGCGGAGGACCTGGAGGTAGTTATCACTCATGACCTTGTAGGCTGCCTCCTTCAGAGCCTCTAGGCCCTGCCTCTTGGCCAAGGTTAGCACCTCGGAGCAATTGCCCAGGTCCAGGTGGACTTCCTGAGCTGAAGCCGGGGTGAGCTGGATGTGGAAGAAATTGGTGCCAGCTATGAGTTGCACATGGGGCTCCCCATGGCTACAGGCTGAATCTATCTGAGCTTTCTGATCCAGGTGGGCAGGAGGGGGCGTCCTGAAGCCTTCAGGCTGCAGCTGGAGTTCCGGGTTCTCAGCGATCTGCAGGAGACTCACCTTTCTGCTGAAGCCTGGTGTGGAGGGGGATGGCACAGGAGGTGGGGTCATGACTTCAGCTGTATTCTCTGGATTATCAGCTGGGTCTCTGGAGTTGGCTCCTGTGACCAGGGGCTCTGGCCCAGGCCCAGGGGATGGAGCATCGTTTAGAGCTGCCGTGAAGGGGACCGGCCTGGAGACAGCCTTGGATGTGGACTCCACAAAATAGTCATATACCCTGCCCTTCAGTATGGGCCCCGGTCCCTCTGCCTTCTGTATAATATTCTCCTCCATCCGGATCCGGGCCACGGATGAGAAGGTGTAGGAGGCATTGGTGGCTCCTTCCCGCTGCTGCGTGGCCAGGCCCATGTCTGCAGCAGCCTGGAGGGCCCTAGCCTCTCCTCTGCTGACCCCTGTCACATGGGTGAAGGCCCAGCTCTGTTTCATGTCACTGCTCACTACTGTGGGATCAGTGCAGCAGTTGGGGGCTCCCGGGTCCCCAGACCCTGTTTGCTCTGGGGGTCTGTTGTCTGGCCATGGAGAGCTCTTGTCACCCATCCAGCAGCAGCCCACTCCTGGGGCAAGTCTGGCTGGGGAATTTATGGGTTCACAGCCCAAATGGGGGAGGTGGGGAGGGCTGGGCTTACCTCTAGCAGCTGTTCCGGCTTCTTCCTGGCCACCGCAGGGAGGAGGCACCTGCTGAGAGACTGGGCTCTCCCCTCCCTGATTCTCACTGGAACCTTTCCTTGTGAACTCCCCAGATCTGGGGGTGACCACTTGGCAGGAGTCTCCCGGGTCGTCCAAGCTGCCGTCCAGCGGGGCCCCAGCCCCCTTGCTGGTCTTCCTGCGTCTTGTCCCCCTTGGCAGGGTCCCTGGAGAAGCCCTCTGGAAGGCAGCTTGCCCCCAGCCCTCTGCGTCATCATCTGCCTTGTTATTTCTCCCTGCTTGCCCAGCTGGGGCAGGCCTGGACCTGTAGAGTTTGTAAGCCGCAGTCACCAGGAGCAGCGCAGCTGCAGACAGCACCACCTTGCTGGTCAGTTGCATGTCCAAATGCCAGTCGTAGGTCTCTGCTCCAGCTCCGGTGGGAAGCATGCTGGCCAGGGACAGAGGAATGCCAAGAATCTGATTAATGATTGCCCAATAAGGACCAGTTCCTGGATCCTGCTGCGGAGTGGGAGGGAGTCCCTAGCCGGTTCTGGCTAGCTGAGTTCCTGGAGCAGAGGTGACTTTGTGTTGGCTGAGGTGGCACTGGGGCAAGGGATGGTTAAGGTCACTGCTGGCCTCTTTCGATCTTTCCCTGAAGTTGGGGGGTAGGGGTCCTAACCTGAGGCTGAGCTCGAGATCAGCCTCCTGCCGCGGCTGGAGAGCACTCGGAGTATCAAAGAGGCAGGAAGCTCCGAGAAGATCCGTCACCTGATACCTGGAAGCATGTGCAGCTGGATTCTGTGTGCAGTGTGTTTGTTTTCTCTTTTGCAAATGCTTGGGTGGGAGGCTTGGGCAGCTTTTGTCGTGGTTCCTGGGGCAGGTGGAGCCACAGGTCCTGGGCCAGTAGGGACGGTCCTGGCCCCAACAGAGGGGTCAACATTTAACTGACCAGGCGAGGAGGCAGTGGGGGAGGCTGAGCCTGGGCCAGCAGCCAAGCCACTTGACCAGGCTCTTGACCGCTTCTACCATCTGGGTCTGACAAGCTGAGGAGAAACCAGCCCTGAAGCAGATGGGGAAATGCAGTGCATCAGAGAAAGTGAGACGCTAAAACACACCCTCTTCTTTAGGAGGAGCCAACCTCCTAGGCAAAGAGGTCGGTGGAGGACGGACATCCCTCAACCCGAACCCACATGCACGCTAACATCAGCACTGCGGACCATGGACCCAATCTGCCCAAGTTTGCTATTCACCATGTGAACTCAGGGGAGTAACTTTCCTTCTCTGTGCCTCCATTTCCCTGTCTGAGAAGTGGAGGGGGAAGGACGGCAGGTGGACCGGCTCAGGTTGTAGTTAACATGTGGGAAGCCCCTTGTTGCTAAAGCTCTAGGAGTCTGAGCTGTTCCTATCCCTGCTTCTCTGGGAGTCTCAGCTGCTCCTATCCCTCCTCCCCGCACACACCAGGGTCCTCTAAGGGTTCTCACGGGTGGGTGCAGAGGTCGCAGCTGCAAGGGAGTTTCCAAGTCAGTGAGCAAGAGCTGGGCCCAGCCCTGCTCCGCGGAACCCTCCATCCGTGCCCAGGATTCAGGTGGCTGAGCTGCCTAGACTCCCTTTGCACACGGTCTACTCTTCTTTTGGTGTTGTCTTCTGACTGCAAAGTGAAAATAAGATCCATTTGGAGGGCCCAGGAGCTTGGTTCTGAGGGCTCTGATTGTGGGAAACGCTACACTTTGTGTGTGTGTGTGTGTGTGCGCGCGCGCGTGTGTATACATACATTCCATAGCATACATGTGATGATCAGAGGCCAACCTTAGGAGTGTTCTCTCCTCCCACCGTGTAAAGCCTGAATACTGAACTCAGTTTGCCAGGCTTGACTGAGAGCTTCTACCCACAGAACCATCTTGCTGGCCTCCTAGGATCCTTACTCCCTTATCAGGGTGACCCTCTACTCCACAGCCTCAGTTTACCCTTCTGTGTTATGTCCAGGTTCAATCAAACTCCAGGCCTCCCTGGGTCCTTCCATGGTGCCTCACTGAGCTCTTCATCCTTCCGAACTGGCCTTTCCTTCCTCAGCCTGTTTCCCAGGCTTTGTTCTATCCAAAGGCCCCAGCAAGGCATTAGTCTTCTGTGAGATTGACTCCTAGTGGCCCAGTGGACCTGGACTTAGTGGAGCAGATCCAGCAAGGGAGGGGCTGTCAGCTGAATCAGGTGGGCTTTTGGTCAGGTCAGAGCGCATGCTCACACATGAAATGGTGGTCTCCACCTCTCGGCGCTCTACTTGTGAATGTTTGAGATGTGGCTGTATTGCTCCTCTGTTACAGGGAGGCCACCAGAGCAGAGAATGCAGCCATGGGAAGAGGGTCTGTCACTCATGGTCCTGAAGAGGAGGGGGAGTGTCTATTTTGGGGGGGGGGGGCTCCAGGAAGGTCAGAGCACAGAGGGATAGGGGAAGTCAAGGCTGAGCATTGCTCATCGGGAAGGTCATAAGCCACAATTCATGCAGAGAAGGCAGAAGAAGGGAGACTCTGGGGTCCCTGGAGGCAGCATCTCCCTTCCAGGGTGTTAGGATTCTAGTTCAGGCTTCCATCTGCAGGTGAACAAACGCTACCTAAAGGCCATAAATTACAGACTTTTTTTTAAAGTCTCTGTTTAGAGAAAACCGAAATGAACAAATGAAGACAGAAGTGAAATTAAAAGATAATTGGAAGCTTATATCAGGCTTCTGTGGATGTGCCTGCCTGCCACCAATCTGGTCTCCTGCATGCTCAGGCAGGATAAATTGAGAACTCTCATGGTAGCCCCAGGGGAAGACTGAGCCCTCACGTGGCTGCCACACAGATCAACAGGCTCATTCTGAGCAGGCATCTTTGCATCCGCATCCACTAGGCCTCTGCTGTGCCCAGTTCAGTTTCCCAGGGTGGAGCTCGCAACCCTGGTGACCGTGGTAAGTGAAACCCAGGACTGAGGAAGGTTGGTGTGGAGAATGAGGGACAGGGACACTGGAGAAACGTGGAAGACAGATGTGTGCCCTCTTCATGTACAGTGAGTGCCTTCATGTGCCCACACATGAGGGGAAGTGTGTGGATCTTTGGAGAGCAAAGGTCAGAGATGAGTTGACCCTGGTTTGGCCAATGAGGAAACTGAGGTTCAGAGTGTATGGGCCAAATGTGGGGGCTCACTGCTGGAATCCGGCACTAAACAGTCAGAGGGAGGTGAATTCAAAGTCGGCTTCAGTTACATAGTGAAACTGTCTCAAAATACACACTCACACACAATCATCCTCTCAGACCCTCCTAAGTTCAAACGAACTCACACTCAGTCACGCGCACTAACTCACACATTCACATATTCACATTAGGACTCAAACATGCTGGGCAATGGTGGTGCACGCCTTTAATCCCAGCACTTAGAAGGCAGAGGCAGGTGGATCTCTGTGAGTTCAAGGCCATCCTGGGCTACAGAGTGTGTTCCAGAGCAGCCAGGCTACACAGAGAAACCCTGTCTCGAAAAACAAACAAACAAAAAAAGACTCAAATTCCTTTGTGTTCACAATACTTATACACTCAAATAAACACTTCTCACACAACATTCCCCCTCACCCTTGCACACCCACACACTCTCTTGTTGAATCACACTCTCAAACATTTATAAACATCCTCACGAACACACTCGCACATCACAGCCCTATGCTCACACACACCTTTTTACATACTCACAACACCCTCAAATATACACATGATCACACTGACACACACGCACAACATTGTTAAACAATCACACTCACAATCACACAACCCTCAAACTCTCTTCCTCTCCTGTAATCACAGTCACACTAATACACTCTCATACATGCATAGTATTGCACACTTACGCACACACTCAAATGCCAACACACAGTCACAGAGATACATGGAGTCTTACATATGTGCAGTTCCCATACAGACTCACAGCTCACACATCCAGATACACACTCTCAGATGTATACAAGCACAGTCTCACTCACTCACACACACAGCGACATGAATTTACACATACACAGTGTATGTGTATATACACTTGCCCTCTGATGGAGGAGGGTCATCTTTCTATCTGTTGTTTCATTGGTTAAGTAATAAAGAAACTGCTTGGCCTCTGATAGGACAAAAAATTAGGTAGGCAAAGTAGACAGAACAGAATGCTGGGAGAAAGAAGCTGAGTCAGTGAGTCGCCATGATTCTCCCACTCCAGGCAGACGCAGGTTAAGATCATTCCTGGTAAGCCAGCTCGTGGGCTACACAGATTATTAGAAATGGGCTAGTCCAGGTGCAAGAGTTACCCCCCAAAAAAGGGGCTAGATATAATGGGCCAAGCGGTGTTTAAAAGAATACAGTTTCTGTGTAATTATTTCAGGGCATAAGCTAGAGCTAGCCATGTGGGCGGCCGGGTGCCGGGGATGCAGCCCCACCACTCCTATTACAACAGCCCTCCACACATGTTCTCACCTTCAAAACATACACAGACTCTCACAGGTTCACACAAGCGTGCTCAACAGAACCACACGAAATCACACCATCGTTTACACTTACACGATCTTACACACGCACATCACACTCGCATAGTCACAGGGACACAGTCTTTACTGACGTGCTCTGACACACTCGTGCCTGCCCACAGAATCACACTCTCATACACTTGTGAATACATGAACTCACACAGTACTCGCTCGTGCCTTCCCGCTTACACTGATGCACCCACACAAAATCATACGTACAATCACACACAACGGGTCTCACACACACAGACCACACTGCCACACACTCATGCACCCACACACTTGCACCCTCATTCGGTCTCATACCCACGTTCACTTGTGCACATCCAATGGGCACTGGGATTATAGATGTAGGTCGCGGTGCCTGGCTTTTGACACGGGCGGTGGGGATCTGAAGTCAGGACCACAGGTTTCTTCAGCAGGCCCCGTGACAACGGGACCATCACTCCCTTTAGAGATGAAGAGGTTGCGACTCCTAGGAGACAAGAGTGCCTCCACATTCAAGGTCTCTTGCGGAAGTCAGTTTCCTCTTTGACCTTGGACCATGTTCCAGGTGAGCCCAGATCAGCAGCAGTAACACCAGGACTCAGGAAAGGACAAGGCTTGCTGTGGTTGGTGAAAGGGGTCCTGGCCTGGAAGGAGTTTCCAAGTCTTGTCATGAAGGGCTATGCTGTTTAGATTTAAGAAATAAAATAAGCGTGAGTGGTGTGTGCCTATGAATTTGATGGCGAAATTGACTGTGAAATTCATGGTTGCCATAGGAGACAGCAGCCTGTCCTGGTGTTTTCTTCCTGGGGTGGAAGAAGGTGAGGGCAGGAAACATCCCGAGGTGGGAGCACGAGTCAGTAAAGTCTTCCTGCGTGGCCAAGATCCTTCTTCACTGTGGACTTGGAGCCTGCAGTATCGCTAAAAACAGTGG